GATGAACACAGGACCAGGTTTGAGCATGTAGACAGGCCTGGGTGCCCACCATGCTGCTCTGGAAGCTTTGGGCCACTTGCTGACAGTTCACTGGGGCCCCAGGATCTTTCTCTGCTCTTTCTTTTCCTTGTTTTTTTTTTTTGTTTTTTTTTTTGAGACAGAGTCTCACTCTGTCACCCTGGGTTGAGTGCAATTGTCATCATAGCTCACTGCAGCCTCAAACTCCTGGGCCCAAGCGATCCTCCTGCCTCAGCCTCCCAGGTAGCTGGGACTACAGGCACATGCTACAACACCCAGCTAATTTTTCTATTTTTAGTAGAGACGGGATCTCGCTCTTGCTCAGACTAGTCTCGAACTCCTGACCTCAAGTGATCCTCCTGCGTCGGCCTCCCAGAGTGCTGGGATTACAGGCATGAGCCACCGCGCCCAGGGTAGCCCAGGGTCTTTTTCTGCTCTTACCCTGAACTCTGCAGCGTGTTTCCCAGGGCGGGACCCAAGACCCCTCCTTCTCATTTGAGTAGAAGCCACGACCCAGGTACATAGGGACCCAGAGGCAAAGAAACAGACGGCGATAACATCTCCAGCTTCAGAGACACCAAAGGTCCAAGACAGAGAGCAGATTCAAAGACAGAGACAATGGAAGAACATAAAAATTGCCCGACCATTATGTCCTACACCCCAGGTCACATCCCTCCTCCCCTCAGAACTCTCCATGGCTCCCACCTCACTTGGGGTCAAGGTCAAAGTCCTCCCCTCAGCCCACAATGCCCTGCACAATCTACCTACTATCTCTCCTTCCCTCTCTCTTCCTGCCTCAGGGCCTTTGCACTTGCCCTTGGCTGTGTTTGGACCTCTTTTGCCCCACAAATGGGCGCGGATCCCTCCCTCACCTCCTTCAGGTCTTTGTTCAAAGGCAGCTGCACATCAGGCCTTTGTGACCCACCTCTCTTATCTAAAACAGCCCCCATCCTCCCCATCCCCTCTCCCTGTCTTGTTTGTCCCCGAAGCACTTATCAGGAACAGCCAATCTACTTTATCATGATTCTCTCTCCCACTCTGTCCACCTCCAAGAGTGGGGTCTTTTGTCTCCATCACACCAGGGCTTGACCCACAGGGCGACTCTTTCACCTGGGGGGCGGGTGGTCAGGACAGGTCCCCCTGACCTTAGTCGCAAAGACCCTCCCCCCCCAATTGAGGGCGGGGGTTTTTCAGCCCCAGAGAGTCTGACATCCCCCTCCCAAGCTGAGTCTCTGACAATCCCCAGTGGCCTGGGAAATGGATCCCCCAGCGCCTGGCGCCTGTCCCCTCCCCCGTCTGCCCACCAGCTGGTCCTGGCCCCAGCCCCCACTCCTCCATACAATCACCCATCCATCCCGGCGCGGCCACCGTGCAGGGAGAGCCCGAAGCAGGAGGCGGGGGGCGGGGAGGGGGCGTCCACAGCTGTCCCCAGCAGCCCCCCTCCCGGACAGCTGGGCACTGGACCCTGAGTGTGGGGGTGGGGGGCGAGCAAGGCAACGGGAAACTCCCCGAGGGGCTTCTAAAGCCACCGGGAGCACCATCCCTGTTCCCAAATCCAGAAGTCTCAAGAGTCCCCGCCCCAAACCAGGGGCAGAGGAAGGTACAAGTCCTCCCGCCCCATCCCCTAGGGCGCGGGGACGCCGAGGGGCCAGAGCCTGGGAGGGGGCGCGGAGGGCTCCCGGCACCAGCAGTCCCCGCGCCGCCTCCTCCGGGAAGCCCTCCGGACACGCCCCCACGCGCCGCACCGGCTCCGAGGGGACACCTCGGCCGCCATCGCGCTCCCAGCGCGGACTCGCCCCCAGCCGGGACCCCCGCCGCCCTCGCCGACTGCTCCCGCTTCCAGCCCGGCCGGCGAGGGCGGGCGGGCCCCGGGCCCCGGCGGAAGGGGGCTGACCCGGGCCGGGGGCGCCCCGGCGGGGGTGGGGGCGGGGCGGGGCCACGTGGGGGGCGGCGGGGAGGGGACCCGCGGCCGCGCTACCTGTTGATCTTGTGCGCGAAGGCGCGGCGCTCGGCGACAGCCATGGCAGCCCCGCGCCCGGGCCCCGCCGCGACGACCGCCGCCACCGCCGCCACCTCCCGGCTCTGGGCGGCCCGGGCTGGGCGGGGCCGGCGCCGGGGGCGGGGCCCTTCCGGGTGTCCCGGGAGCTCCGTGCTGCCCCTGCCGGCCGGAGGGGCCACCTCGGCGCGCATCGGGGCCAGGCCGGGGAAACTGAGGCTCAGAGGAGGGGGGCGCACGAGGCGGGTAGGGAGGGAGGGAAGGGGCGGAGTGGGGAGCGCTCTTTCTGCCCTCTGAGCCCTGGCCGGGAAACAACAACAACGTCCACGCAGCTAATAACCATAACCACAGGTGTCATCGCTAGTGGGCATGGCCCTGTGGTTCACACAGGAGGAAGGAGCTAGTGCTCTCCGCCGTTTCACAGATTTGTAAACTGAGGCACAGCGCTGTTCAGGCGCAGTGACTCACAGGGGTCTCCGGGGCCTCCACGGGATGTGTCCCCCACCTTCCTCCAAGCCCAGTCTGGAGTGGGGGAAGCAGAGGGGTCCAGCTGGGGTCTGGGGTGTCAGGACATGTGACCCGACCCCTCCCCCACCCCGCCGCCCCAGGACCTGGCTGGGGGACCCGAGTAAGCCAGTCCGGCAGCCTGGCCCGCCCAGCCGCCTCCACAGGAAGGAAGATGCGGGGGTGTCTTGGTTAATTTGTGGTCTCAAATCTCTCCCCAACAGCCGCGCTCCCAGCCCTGCTGTGGCATTTTTGGAGAATTCTCTAGCCCCCACTCCTGGATGTGCCTCACCCTTTCCCACTTCCACGCTGCTGGATGGGCAAGTCCCTTCTCCTGGCTGGCCCTTCTTGTTCTGGTCACCAAATGTCCTAGGGAGGATGTGATGCTCAGTAATGCCAGGACATGGCTGTGCCTCAGGGCCTTTGCACATGCTGTTCTCTTTACTGTGTACGGGTGCTGGCATTATAGCCTCTATTTACAGATGGGGAAACTGAGGCCCGCAGAGACAGGGTGACTTTTCCCAGTTGCCTAGTGAATCAGTGTCAGATCCTGAGCCCCCAGGAAGGAGAACTGGGTCGTGGGACGACCCCCAAACCCTGCCATTTAGGCCCAGGATAGCACCGGGGCTAGTGAGGCCACAGAAAGCCTGTTCACAGCCTGGCATGTGACATGTGCACGCGTGTGTCAGCAGCCCACGTGCTTGCTTGTCCCGAGCGGTCCAGCCACTTTGGCGTGGGAGAAGCCAGGTGTGACTCCACCCATCATGCCCTGCTATGCCCCACCTGGTGTCACCCTGCAGTCTCCTGAGTGAAGTTGCTGCCTCGCCACTCAGGCTGCTGGGAGCCAGGCTGGGCAGGAAACATGGACATGACCCTCCTCTGTGCAGAACCTTCCGTGGCTCCCACCTCACTCAGGGTAAAAAGCCAAAGTCCTCCTACAGCCCACAAGGTCCCACATAATCTGCCTCCATTGCCTCCCTTCCCTGCCTCCTCCCTCTCCCCAATCAATCATTCCATTCCAGCCACCGCCCAACCTGAACGTGCCTCTAAATGCCAGGACATAGCTCCACCTCAGGGCCTTTGCACATGCTGCTCCCGTTCCCATACATGGATGCTGGCATTAGGCCCCTTTTACAGATGAAGAAACTGAGGAAAAACGAGAGAGACTTGCCCTATTTGCCTAGGAAATTAGTGTCAGATCCAAGATTGGATCCAGGCACCCTGACCCCAAAGCGGTTTTCTCTAAAGACCAGCTGGATCCCAATCCAATCTTGGCTGTGTGACCCCAATTAAATCGCTCAACTTCTCTGAGCCTGTTTCCTGGTCTGCTCCATGTGAGCTTGTGCCCAGTTGCAGCGGGAGACACAGACATCAGAAGGTAGGTCTGGCACCGCAGCAGCGAGCTCTAGGCGCTTGTGGGGGTGGGCTGATGCTTTGCAGAAGCAGCGGGGCTTTGAACCCCTGTGTCGGTGGAATCTCTGCTTCAAAGATCCCTCCAAGCAAAAGCCCTACCCCAGCTGCACGGGGCCCAGTGCCCGCCCCAGGGCCTGCCAGACCTGATTGGTGAGGCTGGTCCTCACCAGTGACTCAGCTGGGCGGGGCAGGGGGTGACCCTGGCAGCTGTTCAAACAGAGGCTGAGCCTGGCGGCAGTGGCGGGGACTTTGGCCTCTTCTGGCTGCGGTGGGGGGAACACGTTGCCATCGCGGGGTGCGAGGCAGCAGCCGGCAGACTAAGGAGGAGGGACGGCACTAACCGGGTGGGCGAGGACTGTGGTGGGGACTTAGCGGGAGGTGAGAAGTCATGGGCTCTGGGCAACTGACTCACCCAAGAGAGCATCTCCTGATTCACCCATGCCGCCGCCCCTGCTGTTCCCTCCCCCTGAAATGCTGTTCCACGCACTCTTCTCTGCCAGACCCCTTCTTCATCCCTTACATCCCAGCTTGTGCGTGTCACAGCTGCCTGTGCATCCCCCATCAAAGCCCTGATCACCCAGTGTCCCCGTTGCCGGGTTACCTCCGTGGGGTCCGTCGGCAGCCGCGCCTAGTTGGTGCTCCATAATTGTCTATTTCTGAGCTCTCTTCTGTTTCCTGATCTGCTGCTCACGCTTGTTCCGGGATCTCGCTATTTGAATTATTGTAGCGTTAGCCTGTGCTTTTGTGTCTTTCTGTCCCCGGGAGCAGCTGCCTGCTGCTTTGCACGGGCTGTACCCTCTGCCTGGAACACTGTGTCCCCCACTCCTTACCCGAGCAGACTCCTATTCGTCCTTCAGCTCTCAAGCCTCGTGGGAAGCCTTCCCTGACTACCTCCCTCCCCTGAAGCTGGGTCAGGGGCTCCTCTGGGCTGTGGTCCCCCCAGCCCCTGGGGCTCTCCCACCTCAGTCCCGATCGTCCTCAGCAATAACCGTCTGGTTCTGTGACATCTGTGTCCCCCACCCGCATGTCAGCTCCGTAAGGGCAGGCATTTTCCATCTGCTTTATTCATGGTTGTGTCCCCAGTACCCAGCACAGGGCTGTGCATACTGTAGGTGCTCAATAAGGGAATGAATGAGCCTGAGGAGTACGGGGTCCACGGACAGGGGAGCCTGCTGCCTCCCCGCCTCCTGGTGCCTACTGTTGCTGCAAGTAGGGATTGAAAGTCACCATTCTACAGGTGTGGGAAGTTGCGGCGGAGAGAGGGACAGACACCGGCCTCAAGTCACACAGCGTTTGAGTCCTAAGACTCGAAGCCACGTCTGTCATCTTCAGGGAACTCTCTCCCCTGGTTCTTCAGATGCATTTGGCAATTTGGTGAATTGCTTGGTGAATGAATGAATGAATGAATGAATGGGTGTCCTGCAGTTGGTGGTAAAATCAGAGTAGCAACAGTCACGGGCAGGACATAGAGTCCAGAGAGACCCAGATGCAAGTCCTGGCTTCACCAAAGCCAGACTGCGTGACCTGGGATCTCTCAGGGCCTCGGTGACCGCATCTGTGAAATGGGCGTAGTAACCTCAGGGCTGGCCCTACAGGCCGGTGATGGTCCCCATCTGCTGTGAGATGTCAGCAGGAGAACACAAAACCCAGGGAGATGCTGTCTCGTCGGATTGTTTTTCCTGCTGCTTCCGGAGCCAGAGAAGGAAGCTGGAAGCCGGTGTCCCTGCCTGCCTCTGGGAGTTTAAGTCACAAAGACAAAGGCTGGCTCTAGGGAGGCCAGAGGGGCAGGCCACAGGCTTCCTGTTGTTCTTTGAACAGATGGCCCAGCCACCGGATGCTTGTCTGTCTCGAAGCTTGTGCATCTCCCTGGAATTCCCTTCTTATTCCTCTCAGTGTCACCTCTGTGTTTTTTTTTTTTAGAGATAAGGTCTTTCTCTATCACCCAGGCTGGAGTGCAGTGACGTCATCATAGCTCACAGCAGCCTCGAACTCCTGGGCTCAAGCGATCCTCCTGCCTCAGCCTCCCGAGTCGCTTGGACTACAGGCACATGGCAGCACACTGGCTAATTTTTAACTTTGTTAAAGAGACAGGGTCTTGCCATATTGCCCAGGCTGGTCTCGAACTCCTGGCCTCAAGCCATCCTCCTGCCTTGGCCTCCCAGAGTCCTGGGATTACAGGCGTGAGCCACTGCGTGCATCCTACCTC